ATATCTGCTAAATTAGAAAAACATAATGAATGATATTTCAACTATTAGCATGTTAAAAGAGAAGGTGAAAAGATATAAGCATCTCCAAGCCCTGTGATTACTCTTTAATTTAAAGAAAATATGTATGTTTCATCTCCGTGACTTACATCAAAAGAGTAAAAATAGTAAGACTACCCTGAATATAAGATTGCTGCAGGTTAAACCACTCCTTACCAAGAAGTAATATGACAGAGACACTATGAAGTGGCTGTTGCAAAAAGTATGCATGGAGCCATTCCAATTTGGGAACTATTTCAAACCCATTCTTAATAAAATAAACCACATTTTATCAAGGAAGTATTAAATATTTTGTAATGTTACAAACATTTTTTCTGGAATTTTTAACTATGATTTGAAATTAGACTTGAATAAAACAAGGTCAGCTTATTGAGGGAACAATCAGACATGTACACACATGTTTATGCTGGTCTGTATTTAAAGTATTTTAAAGCATTTTAACTGTTAAGGTACAATAATTATAAAAATGCATGATAATTTTGGTTGTGAGCCTAGTCTTTAATGGCTGAGCCATCACAACAGAAAAATCTCAGCTGGCTTAGAAACCCTTGAAGAAATGTTCACCATCTTTAGCATCAGGGAAATGAAAATCAAAACGACTCTGAGATTCCCTCTTACACCTGTCAGAAAGGTTAAGAGCAAAAACACTGATGACAGCTCATGCTGGAGAGGATATGGAGCAAGGGGAGCACTCCTCCATTGATCGTGGGAGTGCAAACTGGTGCAGTCACTGTGGAAATCAATATGGCAGTTTCTCAGAAAATTAGGAATCAATCTATCTCAAGAGCCAGCTGTATCACTCTTCATCATATACCCAAAGGATGCTCAATCCTACCGTAAGTACACTTGCTCAGTTATGTTCATAGCAGCTATATTCATAACAGCCAGGACCTGAATACAATCTAGATGCCCCTCAACTGAAAAAATGGATAAAAAAAATGTGGCACATTTATACATGGAGTATTACTCAGCTATTAAAACACAGCATCATGAATTTCAAAGACAAATGGATGGAACAAGAAAAAAATTATCCTGAGTGAGGTAACCCAGACCCAGAAAGACAAACATAGTCTGTACTCACTCATAAGTGGATATTCCCTGTAAAGTAAAGGATAACCAGGCTACAATCCTCAGACCCAGAGAAGCTAGGTAACAAAGAGGGTCCGAGGGGAAACTCAGATCTCCCTGAGAAGGGGAAAATTAAAGAGATTTGGGGGGGGGTGGACTAAGGGCAGGTGGATACAGGAATATGTGGGATCAGGTCAGGGGTATGTGGCAGTGGGGAGAATACTGAAGGAGACCTCCTGGGAAAGGGAAGCATTTCCGGGTGAGATAGAAACTTGGTTCAAGGGAAACTCCCAGGAATCCACAAGGATGACACCAGCTAAGATTCCCAGCAATTGTGGGTATGTAGTCTGAACTGGTCATCTCCTGTGATCAGGCAAGACTTCCAGTGGAGGGATTAGGACATCAACCTAGCCACATAAACTTTGACCTACACTCTGTCCTGCCTGTGGGATGTACTGGAGTCAGGGTGGCACAGAGATCGTGGGAGTGGCTGTTCCAAGACTGGTCCAGCCTAAAACCCATGCCACGAGAGGGAGCCCACTTCTGACACTGCCTGGAGTGCCAGGACCCAGAGGCTGGATGACCCAGAGACCTAAGATAAAACCAAACACGACTGGAGGGAAAAAAAGTCAATGTAATGATGTCTAACAACATTCTGCTGTACTCATAGATTGGTGCCTAGTGCAATAGTCATTAGAGAGCTTCATCCAGCTACTGGTGGAAAATAATGCAGAGACCCACAGTCAGACCTTAGGCAGAGCTGGGGAATCCTGCAGAGGTGCGGGGGAAGGATTATAGGAGCCGGAGGGGTCAAGAACATCACAAGAAATCCCACAGAATGAACTAACCTGGACTCACAGAGACTAAACTGACAACCAGGGAGCCTGCATGGGACTGACCTAGGCCCTCTGCATATATGTGACAGTTCTGTAGATTGATCATCTTGTCACAACTCCTAACAGTGGGAGCACTGACTCCTTTGCTGACTTGTGGGACCCTACTCCTCAGACTGGGTCACCTTGCCCAGCCTTAATACAAGGCAAGGTGCTTAGTCTTGCTATAACTTGACATGGCAAGTTTTGTCCATATCCATGGGAAGCCTGACCCTTTCTGAATGGAAACAGAGGTGGAGTGGATGGGAGGGGGGAATAAGGGAGGCTGGGGGAGGGGCTTGGAGGAGAGGAGGGAGCAGAAACTGTGGTTGGGATGCAAAATAAACAAACAAATGAATGAAAGAGAGAAAGAAAGAAAGAGAGAGAGAAAGAAAGAAAGAAAGAGAGAGAAAGAAAAGAAAGACACGTTTACAGTAGTAAAAATGCATAATAGAAAATCACAAAAACAAAGTTTAAATATTAAATAACTTTTTATAGGCCCTCACTATTTGATATGGCAATAATTTTTCTGATGTCATTTTTATTCTTTTGTTCAGTATATTTAACTATATTCTGTAAGAGCTGAAAAAATATTGAGTTTGCCATGACAAAAAAATTATTCAGGTACACCAGCTATCTTTGGACAAAAACAAAGTAAATAAAATTGCATTAGTAACCTATGTTCACAATAACATTTGGAATCAACTCCCCCAAAAAGCTCTGAGTAACTATGGGAATTAAAAAATAGGCCGGGCGGTGGTGGCGCACGCCTTTAATCCCAGCACTCGGGAGGCAGAGGCAGGCGGATCTCTGTGAGTTCGAGGCCAGCCTGGGCT